TATATATATATATAGAGTGTATAANTCGATATATACATACATACAACATAATATATATATATATATATATATATATATATAATAAATAATATATATATATATAGCACTATATACATATACTATATATAGACTATATATATATATATATATATAGACAGATATACAGACACACACATATATATATATATATATGTAATTTTAATTTCATATAAAATATAGTTGTGTACACATTGTGTTGATATCACTCATTAAACCTACACTTACGCATTGTTTGATCAATATACAAATATCAGGTTATACGAGTTACAAGTGAAGCCGGACCAAAAGTGTGTGAAGATAGGGTAAGGTGCACTATAATACCGAGTTCGCATATTATAGAACATTCCAGGAAATATATCTAGATAATACTAAACACAGAATGCACATATATGTATACAGAATGTATATCCTCGGCGGGCTGCAATACATCCCAAATCATGCGCCCATCTACATATCCACGACAACAGACCTTTGCAATACTCAGTGTGCCGTGTTGTCTGATACTAGGTCCAGGTCCGGCAATAGCTAGATGGTCGACATTGTCACACTCATCAAAGTCGCCATAGGGAACCGACAACCCAGATATGTCGCTGCTGCGCTCGGCTCGAGCATCGACACACGCATAACCCTGTGTGGACGGATGTCGAGATATGTGGTAGGTAATCAGGTGTAGCATGGCAACGCGACTAGTGTGGTAAGTGAACAAGTTTAGCCTGGCAACGCGACTTGTGTGGTAAATAAACAAGTGTAGTCTGGCAACACGACTTGTGCGGTAAGTAAACAAGTGTAGCTGGCAACGCGACTTATGTGGTAAGCAAATACACACATACATAAATACATGCATACATACATTGGTAGAAAGATAGATATCCACACAAATACATAGAAACATACACACATACATAGATACATATAAAATGAAAAATAGTAATAAAGATACATAAGTACACAAGTACATATATATATATATATATATATATATACATGAATATGTATGTATATATATACATTTACATATAAATACATATACATATATACAAATATATATATATACATATATATTCATATATATATATAAACATATGCAATTACATATACATATACTTATGTATCCGTATTTGAACATTTAAATTTATAGAGATGTACATTACATACATATATACATATATATATAATATATATACTTATATATATATATATATACATACATATACACATAAATATATAAATATATATCTGTATATATATACAAATACATACCCATACATACATACGTACAAGGATATATACTTACATACGTAGAGATATACATTTATATACACACACCACACACACACATACTCATACATTCACAAACACACACACACACAAACACACACACGCACACACACGCACACACACACATATATATA